CCAGATCAGCAAGCCTTAAAAAAGATCCATGATCGAAGATTCCCTTAATAGATCGATGCAGCTGAAGATATTGCAGGATATGTATCCGACGACTTCACATAGCCATTTTGTTTATTCCGTGCTTCTTGGATTTTCATACCCAGTTTTGTTACATTGATTCAGTGCATTACACTCGTCAGTGCTTTTTTAACTGAGAGCTGAATCTTTTTTGAGCATCATGTCAATGGATTTTCGAGAGATTTCCATAGCGATTTCTATAGCATCAATAAATTTCATCTGAGCATCGCAATTCACTCAACAGAGTTCACTTGAAACATTTTCGCTGTTGGCAGATAATTTCACAAAATTATCAATCAATTGATCAAGAGATTATTTATTTCTGGTTTATATTATTTATTCCTGACCATTTCGTTGGGAATTCCTGCACTTGAGCACAATGCGTATAGAGAAGAAGGGCATCGTAGGTTAACTCGTGATTACCGAACGCTATTGCATAGGCAACAAACGGTACAAGGCGATCGTCCTAAAGTCATTTGAAAACATTTGAAACTGATCATGATTTAAATATTCAAAAAATTCACAAATAATATCAAAATAAACACTACACTGGAACAATTGAAAGGCAATTCGAACTCAAATCCTCATAAACTGAATAAAACACCTCGACGAAAATGAATAAGCTAAAGAGAAGCATTATCCCATATCCGCTCAAAGAAATCGCAATACAGTTTAGAAAATATTTCAGTTATTAAATCGCCAGATCAATCGCACTCAAGTATAAGCTTCTTCGATGGAAAGCATATGATCTAGCCTGGAATGTACATGACAAGCTAATCATCTACCTTTAAAAGTTTCCAATATTGATCTTTATGCAGTTTTGAGTAATCCTTCAGAGCGGCCAGCACCCTCAACAGCTCCAGAACAATTGATACACCGTCAGCACTGGAACAAACAATGCTCACAGATATTCGAAAATTGAACAATTGAAGACATTGAATTACACGGGCATTCGAATCCTTTCTTCCTCTGTATCAATTTGAAATGTCGTTGAAACTCAGTCAAAAGTTTGCTTATTCAATTTTTTTAAAATTTAAAACTTACTCATAAATACAGAATCAACGAGAAATACAAAACATTATCTGTATCACATTATCTGTATCACTGCATTCGTTAAAATCTTATGAATTAATTGGATAGTAGATACAAGCCGGATCATAGCCTGCTGGCTCAGGCTCACAACATTAATGATATTGGTACACCACTCGGTTTCGAGCGCAAAACTTTCAACCACTCGGCAGAGACTGAACGGTCTCCGTGGTAGCTCAAAGGTAGAGCCCCAACCGGTAATTAGTACTTGGCGGGTTCGATTCCCGATCGCGGAGGAAAGTTTTGCTTGAAACCGAGTGGCGTACCAATATCTCTTATGAATTATTACGATTCATCCTGGACTATACGAAGTTACGGTCACTCACCTCCAGCTGGGTGGCAGTTCATTGCGCATTGCAATTGGACGACCCATATACGGTACGATTGGATTGGAGAGCATTTGAGACTCGACGATATGCGCACACAGTGGTGCGGTTACAACGTCGAGAATGTCACCCCTTAAGTCGTCATCGTTGGAGACGGCTGAAACAGACAAATTTCAAACAGCACTTATATCTAATCCGGTCTTCCAGACAACCAATGATATCGATGCTAAACTCACTTTCGGCAAGCCTTAAACCCTCAGTTATTCGTTTGCACTGAAATGAAACCAGTTCACTTGCAGTCTCAACTGGTGTCTTGATATTATCCTCGATCAGTCGCAGGATCAACTCGGACGGTACATAGTCTTGAGCATGGGCACCGCTCTCAATCGCCTCCTGCAATTGCCCAATAGGCTGCACTCATCCAATTCCAGGGAATTTTTGGGGAATATTCGAAATATTTTTCAGCAATATCAGATGAAAATGCATTCCCAATTCATAAACGATTACTCATTTAAAATGAGATTCTACGAGTGACTGAAAGGTTTGTTTTACAATGAATCGTTGGTAAAATAAATGTCACTTGGAACTCAGAATATTGGATACCTAATAAGATTCCGACAAAATTTTCCAGGCGAATAATTTAGATTCCAATGAATATAACTCTGAATGTTCGAACTCAGCAGCCTAGATTTCATGTTGATTACCAGAATCGATCCGGAATCGTATCAGTTGATAAGATTCTCGATATGAACTTATACCTTTAGAACATATCTGAGCAATTTAACAGCTTTCAACGGAGCATCCGGCAGGATGGCCTCATCGAATGTCATTTGAGCCGTAGAACACATGGACAAGACGGGTGTTGTGAGACGTTGTTCCTTTGGTGGACATTTGAGGATAGCCATTGTAATTGGAATACGCATTTGATTCAGTGAGCAAAACGACAGAAATATATCGTAGATCTGGAATGGTGAAAAATCTATGAAATATTAATAGATTAATAAATGTAAAGACAGAAGGCGAATCTATCGTAACATTCAATTAGAATAACGACAGCAATAGTAATCCGGCTAACGATATGAACCTTTAAGGATTCCTCGGATCTTGGATCCAGCTGTATGAAGAGGGAGGCTAGCGCTTGAATGGATCGTTCGAAATATGAGTAATTGATGAGATCTTTACCAGTCGACGTTATCACAGGTGTTGACGAGACCTTGAATCAATACGGTTTTAAAAAATGCCACCCACAGAATATTCGATCATTGGCTTTGATCACAAGATCTGCTGATCAAGATCATCAAGATCAAGATCTGATCACAAGATCACACGACGCAAGATCTGCTGTGAGTGGATAAGAACTGAATAAATAAAATGAAGGAATACCCTAACAAGAAAATAACATTTCAGGAGGAATGTTTACTGGAAGAAATCACTCTATAAAAAGGGTTTTTTTTTCAGAAAATTTAGTTCTCTTCACCAACAAACGCACACATTTATTAAAAAACTCACATTCGGTGTATCGCTGACGACCAATCGTTTCAATAGATCTGCGGCAATGTGTCGTGTCATCAAGCAATCGCCGAGCACAAGAACATTGAAAACGCATTGAAATGTTTGTGGAATATTGCGCGAACAGAACACCTAAAAATTTGAAAAAATTCTAAAGATGTGATCAAAATATTATCACATTTCAACGAGGTCATCACCGTTCAACGAAGAACATTTTCTGGTGTTTCCTTTTTTTTCAAACGCAAATTCCATTTCGATTTGGGTATTTGGATATTTCAATTTAAACAAGCCATCATCATAAAAAGAACATTTTCAATCTCAGCCATAATGAAACAATTGAAAGAGAAAGAAAAACGAATTCTTAATCGCACCGTATCTCGGAGTTGGGCTTCCAGATATCCGACGAGAACCAACGACGACACAACAACAATCCGAGAGTCATGCGCCAGTAGTTTAAGCAACTTGCGACTAAACGCTTTGTAGGATGACTGAAAAGATAGGGCGATTTGAAATTTGAAATTTTGGTTGAAGAACTTTTTCGGAATGCTGCGAAAACATCACTGAAAACTTTAATCTCTCAAAGAATTCTTTGCGAGACCCCATATGGAACCTTGAAGACTCCATCTGGAACATTTGAAACTCTTATGAAACGCCCAATAAATTCACCAACGGCTAAATTTTCACGTAGGAAAACCTGAATCTTCTAACGATTAATAATGTGATTAACCTGAATCAATTAACTGATCTGTAAATCGTCAAAAATCAAAAAACTCCT